GCATGCAAATGTTGATACGGATTGAATGGCACTGCAAGCTGCATATAGTTGTCTTCTGTGAGTTTTCTTAAGCAGAACTCACGCACTACATCATGAAGTGAGCAGTATTGTACATCACGATAAAATCTCATTCCGGAGACCATTATTAGGCTTCTGTTAAGCAAATCAGTCATGCAGACTCGACATGCTTTCTCCATGTTCTCTGTTCCGGCATTCAATACAAACTCTTCAGCCATCCACAACTTCAGCAGATGGTCCACTGGGATCTTATGGTCTTCTCTCTGCTTCCACATTCACCTTGAGGGAAACATATTCCCAAATCTTCCCATGCCTTGACATCCCAAATGTCATCTAATACGATAAGGTATCTCTTGCCTATTAGAACCTTGCGCAACATGTCAGCTACATCATCGTCCTCTTTGATTTTGATCTTATCATTTGTAGCTTGTTTGAAAATCTCAACCAATAACGTCCTCCTATCATATGCTTGCGACACAGAACACCATGATTTAACATCAAAGTAATTAACAATAGAGGGATTGTTGTATACATTTTTTGCCAAAGTTGTTTTACCTAGTCCGGGCATCCCATAGATGGAGATAACATCCCGCTTCTTAGTTCCTCGTATCAATTTCTTCATTATAATTTCTGCATGTTTCTCAAAGCCGACAACTACATCATCATAAATTGATGTAATACTAGGTTTGTTTGAAGTCTCTCCAGAAAAAAGAGTTCCTTTTCCACAAGTGCCAACAACCTCCATGGCTTGAGTTAATTGCTTTGTCACCTTTCATAAAAGAAATGAAAACAACGTCATTTCAGAATTCAGAATTTAGAAGAGAAGAAAAAAACCAAACCCAAACCCAAACATATCAAAGTAATGTAACATATAAAGGGTATTTTCTTTCAGTTACTGGAGATATTAATTCTAGGCGCCCCTGAGTCAAAATTCGCTACTCAATAATCCTTTATACAGTGATTCATCAAGTTTTGTTTAAATCCCTTTCCCTTATAGTGGCAGATCGGATCCCAGACTTAAATATGTCGAGTTTCACCTTAATTTTCTTAGTATTGACAAAGAAAAATGGAATAAGCTCATTGATAAAGCTTTGAAGCTCAAATTTTAAAATTTAACCTACCGTAAATGTGTTAATCATTTCGAATGAATAATATATGAAAAGACTTGAAATGTTGAGAAGAACTCATATCTAAAATTTAAAACTGCTTAAGAGGAGTTTTGAGTTGGTTGAGATTGGAAAAAAAACAGATCAATGAAGAAGATGAAATGTGTTAATATATAAATATTATATATAGTTATGATTTGTAATTTCTAATTTGGTTTAACAACTCTAAAATTTAACTTCTGAATGGAACAAAATCCCTAGTAAATAAGTAGAGAAGCAAATAAACTAAAATAAAAGTTAAAAATAACCAAGAAAAAACTGATTAAAGAATATAAGTGAATAATGATGTGAAGAAAATAGAGTAAAATGTATGAAAAATGATAAAACAATTTAGAAATCTGACCTTGGGTTATTGAGAAGATTGCTTAATTTGATGCTTTTGTGTTCACAGAAATGGAAACTGAGAAAAATATAGAGGAAGGAGATGGTGGACTTCAAACAATCTCCAACCCACCTCTATTTTACTCTCCATATTCTATATTTGGAAAGTAAAATAGAGAATGGGCACTCCAAATCACCATCTATTCTTCAAATTTAGAGAGTTGAATAGTAACTATTATTCACACTCTCTATTTCACTTTTTCATTATTTTATTATTATTTCTATTACTTTCTAATTAACATATTATTTTACATATATATCTATTAATTAAATATCTAATATTCATAATTCGTTTTTAAATGTAATATAATATTTTTTCAATATTATTTAATATATACTATTTTAATTTCAAATTAATAGTATTTTAATTTTTTTTCTAATTTTCGTGAATAATAAAATTTTATTTTATTATTAATTTTCATTATAAAGAATACGCAAAATTAAAATGG